TAGGTTCTGTGTTGTAGGCATAAATCCGGTTTCACTAATGTCATCGGTGTCCCCGATCGAGTGAAAATCTTCTTTGGCCTCCATCTTTGGTTTTTCCCGGTCTGTTACTCTTGACTGTGTTTAGAAAACTCACGCTTGACTGTTGTATTGTTTTCTTGTCACCCCTTCTCACACTGTTCCGGTAGCTTTCCTAGCTTTTCCTGGCTTTACCCGGTTTCTCCTTCTTTTGAAATGTCCCCGCTCGAGGCGCCAAATTTTTGTAAGGCTATTTCTTTGGTTCTGTGAAAAATAGCCTTATTGACGCCTAGTGGTAAATCTAGATCTCTCGGGCGCCACCTCTGTGATTTATAGTGGCAGAGGCCCACGTTTGCCAGTACGGGTAGCCTTTAAACAGTGGAGACTCCAGGTATGAAGGGGTGCAGGTAAAGTCAAAATAAAACAATCAGTTTAAATTAAAATAATATAAACAATCTTTATTAACCTCAAATTCGTTGAGAAGCAGCCGTAAAGTCTTGGCTCAGGGGTTTCGCGCAAAATGGCGCGGAGTAAGGTTCTACGCAAGCGCGAGACTTTCTATTTTCTAACCAAGGGCGCATGCGCGGCCCTGAAATGCAGACGTAGATGGATGGATAGCTCACCCTAGTATTTGCGGTCGGGGAATGTACTGCGCATGTGTTAACTTTCGAAAGTTAGGATGACTTTCGAAAGTCGTCTGGTCCTAACCCAGCGCTTCAGTCAGCTACGCAGTGCCTTGTTACTTTCTAAAAGAAAACGGGCACCGCATGCGCACCGGGACGAAGACGGCAGGCGGCCTCCTGACGTCTGTCGGGTAGCGCAGGCGTGGCAAGATCGCGAAATCAAAAAGTTACTAGTTAAACCCTATCTTAACCCGGAGACGAAACTTGTCTTTCGTTTGTTCACTAGCCCACAATCCAACCGTACGTGAAAACAGCACCCCATGGTCAAAATTGTAGGTTTTTTACGCTTTCCCTTCAATCACGGATGGATTAGGCACAGAAAACGCCTCCCGACAGTACTTGTGAAAATACTGACCAGAGGACGCTACCTACTGCTCTTCAGTCAGCCACCTTTTGAAAGACAGAGAACGGCCTTTCACAATTTAATGTAAAGCCGCTCACCGCTTTTCCGAAGGCGTTGGCTAAGACACACGTTCACGTGATTGAGCGAGGAAAACTGCAAGGAAAGTTTTCAAACGACAAGCTTCACTTGATGAACAACGTGGCGTAGCACTACACTATAACAGTCACTGCGCAAGACAGGATATTGCGGAGAGTAGTCGGGTGAGCACTTTCTAGAAAGCGAGGCTTTCTATCGAGTTTTTACCTTCGGAGGAGCAGAGTTCAGCTGTCGTCTAATCGCCAACCCAGGTACCAAGCAACTGACGACTTTTGATTTTCTAACGGTACTGCTCTCGTCTACCGGAGTGGGGAAAGCAGCACACAGTGGGGACAACGGCGCGCGCCGTATCCCCGCCACTATCGATCGATACGAACCAAGACTCTACTGCTTGCTTTTAACAAAATAATCATTTTATAAATAATTTGATAATTACAAGCTAATTAATTTAATCACTACAAATTAATTATCACAAAAATTAAGTAACATCGTTACAAGTTTCCCGCCAACGTTTTGCGGTAAACTGCGAACTGTGATCTGATAAAATACGTTCAGGACGCCCGTTCTTGGGAAAATAGTCTAGAATCAATTTTTTAAGAACTGCACGACAAGTAGCCTTTTTAAGTGAATAAAGAACAACGTATTTCGTAAATACATCCAACACTACGAGAATGTACGATACACCTCCACGACTTTTAGGTAATGGCCCATACAAATCTAACGCGACGAGATCTCCCTTTCCTTCAGGAATGACAGGATTAAGCGGTGGTTTTGGCATGATGGACGATTTTGATTTTTGACAAGAATCGCAACAACGTAGTACCTGCTTTATGGTAGGGCATGTTTGGCCACCAAACCTCGTGTCTCAGTGCCGACCAAGTCTTGTACACTCCATAATGACCCAACATGCTATGAAAAGCTTCAACAAATTCACGCTGTAAGTGTTTAGGGACACATACTAAGCATGGTTCGTCCGCTGCTTGACGCTTATATAACATATCTTCGTGTTTCCGCAATTCCGAATCTACTTCGAACTGTGAAATAATATCCGCTAATTTTTTATCCTCGCGTTGCAGCTTAGAAAAAGACTTTAGTTTGCGCTGGAAATCAAGAGGTAACTTGATAGTAGATAATATTTTAAAACATCTCGAGTCAGATGTCTCCGGGATAGAATAGGCATCGCGAGACAACGCGTCGGCTATTATATTATTCTTTCCTGGAAGAAACTCGATGGAAAAATCATATTCTTGAAGCGCAAGTGCCCATAGAAATTCGTGGCGATAGAAGACGACAAGATTTTATATAAGTCAGAACTCTATTGTCGGTATGTATCGTAAAGTGACGACCTAAAAGATAAATGCGCCATCGAGTCTCTCTAGGCAATAATAAACGACTAGCCCACGTAACCGTGCGTTGTTGATTTTCAACAATTTGAAAAAGATGCGCGCTCAGTCCGTATTCGCTAGTATCAACACTAACATGCCAGTCGGATGATAAGTTTGGGTGATACAGAATTGTAGCCTCAGATAATTCATGTTTTATTTTGTTAAACGCTTGTTCTTCGTCTTTCCACTCCCATTTTGTCTTTTTTCTTAAAAGTCTCGACAAAGGTTCACAAAAACCCGAAAAAGATTGACAAAACGATCTATCAAAATTGCACATCCCTAAAAATCTCTGTAACTGCTTAATATTTTTAGGACGCGGATAGCTGGTTATTGCCTCTATTCGCGCTGGATCCGGTTTAATTCCTTCGCTATTTAAAATATATCCCAGAAATGGTAATTCCGTACAAAAAATGCACATTTCTTAAGCTTCAGCGTTAATCCTACTTCATTTAACCGGTCAAAAACAAGTTTAAAGTGTCTAATATATTCATTAAATGAATTAGATATTATTAAAATGTCATCAATATAGGCAGTTATAAATGAATCGAACTCCGGCCCAAATACTTGACTAATCATACGCACAAACGAAGATGACGCAGTAGAGACGCAGTGAACGAAGTAAACGAAGCAAACGAAGATGACGCAGAACGACGCAAACGAAGATGACGCAGTTCGAAGGGAAGAACGCGAAAAACGTAGGTTTTAGAGTCAATCATAAAACCGGTATATTTCCTTGACTCCGGTGCGAGTGGTATTTGCCAGTAGCCGTTCGTCGCATCTAAACGCGAAAAATATTTACGATTCGTTAGTTTCATCAAAATTAAGTGTATTCAAAATTTGCTCCATCGGTCGCGGCGCCTCATGATCCCTCTCCATTTGACTATTCAAGCGTCGCGCATCTAGACACAGTCGTATCGTACCGTCTCTTTTTATTACTGCAGCTATGGGGGAGATATACGAAGTAGCGGCCCGTTCGATAATACCGAGACGCTCCATTTCTTTAACCGTTTCATTTACCGACACTCTATCTGCAACTGGTATAGGGTATGGTTTAATAAAAAAGGGATTTTTATCAATCATTCGAATTTCATGTACGTAATTTATATATAATAAACCAAACCAAACCAAACCTGGCACATTAGAAAAAACAAACTTATTTTTGTCTAATAAATTTTGAAAAATTTCTTGCTCAGTTTGACTTAAAATAAAATGCTTGATAGTGTTATTTGAATTAGTATCTTTTTCCTCCGAAAGAGTAGCACAAGCTAATTCATATTTGGGTATACACCTTAAGTTAATTTTTTCATACCCCTCGTATTCAGGAAAATATTTTTTCTCAGGCAGATTAACAATGTTACCATTCAACATACAAGCTAAAAAATTATTCTTTAAATCAATTGTAACTTGATATATTCTTAAGAAGTTATACCTAAAATAATAGGATATACGAGATCGTTAACCAGAAAAAATTCTTGTTTAAACAAATTGCCATTACAATAAAATATTATAAGAGATTGTAATTGAATTTTTTTCTGTTTACTTTTAAATGCTCCTGTTATTCTTACACCTGTGCATGGAAAACATGTTATATCTGCTTTTAAATTATCTGGAAAACGATTCCATACATCTTCCGAAATAGCTGAGATTTCACTACCTGTATCAACGAGAGCAGGAAAGGAAAACCCATATAAACTTAATTCTAAAATAGAAGAACGATTTGGTACACTGAGATGATCGAAATTACAATTTCCATCGTTCAACAAATCATCCACCGGATAATTTTCTAAATGAATGGCTCTACTTTTGCTACTATCTACAGGCGAGCCAGATTGCGATAGCATATTTAGTTAGAAAAGTTGTAGTTCCTGCCAAGGTGCAAGATACACTAGGAGGAAAATGTCGAGCAATTACCTGAATAAGTTGGCTTTCAGTGTACGGGGGCTCCAAATGTTTTGCCATAGCTACATATTTATTAAAATGATCTGTAAAACTTAAAAGCCGCTATTTTCTCTATATACATTAGAGTCTAACTTTATGCGAACTTCCAGCTGTTGACTGTGATTTGACTGTGAATTTACTGTGATTGAGGTATGGCTTGGGGGTTGAATGGATAAAGCCCTACAGCTCTGAAGCCATTAATGATGTTTGAATGTGTGTGTTATACACTTTGACCAAACTTTAGTCAGTATTGTATTAAAACTGGTTTTATTAATCTTTCTTTCTAGATTTTTAACTTGGTATTGAAGCAGTTCTACATCCCAGTGATGTTCAAAAGATCGGTAAACGGATTTATCCAATGGTTGGAGCTCGTGCGTAGTGTTTGAGGGTAGGCAGTAGAGGACGATATCATTTTCATCAGCAGCTACAACAATTTCGATAACAAGGTGGCAAGCTGCTCCATCAAACACAAAAAAAAAACTTTTCCGGGGGGCTTAAACTTCGCCAAATGTTTAATGAAATCAACAAAAAGATCCTTGATCATAAATCCTTTTGGTACCATTCTAACAATACTTCCCGGTGCAAGTTGTTTGTCAATTCTGATTTTAACCTTTTACCTTTAAAAATAATCATCGGGGGTATAGCTGATACACAACCAACTATAGTAACACTTTCGGCATGTTCATTTGCGATGAAATGAACTCTTTGTGAACCCTTCTTTACAAGCACTGCCGGCTGGTGATGTAAAGTCGGCGGGCAATCTTTTTCGTCCATATCAAAAATTTTGGCAGGATTTTGCTTTAGTTCCAAATTATCTAAGAGCTTACCAAGTTTTTTAAAATGGTCGTCCACTATAAATTTATTAAGTTTTTGAGCCCTAGCTTGATTCATGAACTGTGCCTTACGCTTTGAGATTTCGGGATTTCTATTTAAAAACATTCGCATCCAATCTCTACCTGTCATGCATTTTTCTTCATTGGAATTATTTTTGATTTTATTTATCTTGCAGAACCTAAATACATTGTGTCTTAACAGCTTCATTGTTAGTGGTACCCCTATTTCAGCCAATCGTACAATTCTTTTCACAAGATCTTGTTCTTGGTGTTTACTTAGTATTGATTTCCTACCAATTTTTTTAACATGGGTTCTAGATTTTAAATGGTCCCTCAGTGTTCTTCGTGGAATTTTGAACCTCATCGCAGTTACTCTTTGAGAACATCTACCCCTTCGTATTGCGGTAAGGGCTGATCTCATGTCTTCTTCAGACCAAAGAGCCCTTTTTGAACACCGTGCTTTTATCCATTTCACTGCAACAAAAAATAGTTTACATACTTGTTTAACCTTTCCGGGACCGTGCTACAAAAAGTTACGTTTCAGGCCGTGTGGGGTAACTACGATACCCCACTGAAATATTTCAAAAACTATTAATATTTTGTCACTCAGGTAAATTATTAGTAATTATTTGTAAAGTTTAATAATAAAACGTCAATAATTTAAATGTTTTGTATTTTTTAATATAAAAAACATTTAATTTTAAAACTAAACTCTTATTAGTTTTCTACACATTATTTTGCCAGTCAGAGCATAAAAACGTTTTAGATTCTTTGCCGAGAATATTAAAAATGGGGTTTTTGCATGTATTGCATAATATTTTTGTTTTTCTCTTACGTGATCTGGCGCAAAAGCCGCATCTTCGGTTTGAATTAGGTTGAGTCTCTTTAGCAGGATTTATAGGAATTGTGCTTTTGGCAAGAAATAATTTTATTGCTGTTTTTACAGTTTTGTGAAACTTGTTACTATTTTATTTATTTCTTAGAACGTTTAGAAGTACAAGTCCTTGTGCTGAAGGATTGATTGCTCTTCGCAGCTCTCGAAGCGAATTCGGCAGGAATTTCTTTTTTGTTAGCCCATCATCAGTATATTCCTTTTGTGCCATTTTTCAATAAATACACACACTAACTTACTATATCACAGTAAATACCAACACTAAACTGAATATAGAACTTGTTTACGTCTTCATACAAAGTCACCAACACGAAAAAACATGAATAGTGCGTGTAGGACTTCGAATCACTGCAGGCCGTGCGAGGTAACGGAGGTACCCCAGGCAATAAGTTTCAGTTTTTCGCGGAAAATAAAAAAATTATTTGGCTATTTTTATTAAAAAAGGGTTTTGTAATATATATTCTAGGATTACCTGATAGGAAAAAAGTGAGAAATAAAAATTCTAAAAGTTATTAAAGAAAAAACGCATCTGGGGTACCTAAAATACCGCGCACGGTCCCGGAAAGGTTAATACTGTTACGTTTTTCGTCGGTTCCGTGTGGATAGAAAGTCACAATTTATTTAAACACTATTTATACACTAATTAACAAAAACAATAACGATAAAAGACTTATAGAACTATTTACAAACGATTTATAACTAAGAATTTATTTTGAATTTTAGCGCGTCAACTGTATATTTATAACTACCCCCTGTAGGCCACAGCCGCCGGCTTTTATACCGACAGGTAAAGAACACTAGAATAGTCCATAGATCGTTAGGTGCGTAGAGAAGTTTTCAGAATGTTCTCGTATGTACTAGTCCAGTCCAGTGGGACTCGATTCTTCTCGAACGAATGAATCATTACCGTGTCTATTCTTTAATGCGATGTTAAGGTCATCTGAGGGCGGGACATATAGTTAGGTTAGGTCGAGTTCACACGGGTCCGCAACACTGCCCCCTTCTTAGGCACATGCTCGTCCCGAGATGTACACGGTGAATGAAGGTATTTGCAAAGCTGGCCCCTGGTACATTGCGAAGTCTGGTAGAAATAGCAGTCTACAGTTTTCTCTCCCGATCTCAGCTTTGGGTTGTAGCAGCAAACGAGGATCTCGATTCCCGTAAATCTGAACAAGACTTCAATCATGTTCCGGATTGTACGCCAACTCAAACCATCGAGTCCACACGCCAGCTTCGGAATGGCTAATCGTGCAATGTTGTTGTTTAGCAGGGCTTCTCTCAGTTCAATCAGGGTCTTCCATAGATTGAGATAAGTCGGCTTACTCGGGGACCATTCCTTGGTGACCAGGTAGAAGATGTGCCTTGCTTGACCATGTGCATTGTCGGTTAGCCTCAAGACGCTTCCAACCTCTGGATCCTGTCGGCGTAGTTCTCCGACACGCCCAAACTTCTCATTGAACGTCGCAGCGATTCCTCTGGACATCCGCAAATCTCGAGCCACACAATGAGCGAGCGAATAATCAGGAGGCACGGAAAAGAGGTCTCGTTGATCTTCTTTGGTTACACCATAGCGAGCCTTCTCACTGCTGTTGTATCGGGCCATGAAATCGTCAAAGGACATCTCCGAATCAGGGGGATCAAAGCTGCAGGTTCTCACGGTCCCAGCACGATCTTCTATTTCGCCTTGGTAGGGGCTCAAACGGTTGAAATGGACTACCCTCGGTTTTCCTTTTGGCAATTTTCTGATACGGTATACGACGTCATTAATTCTATCCATGACTTCGTATGGCCCTTCCCACGAGGATTGTAGCTTCGGAGATAACCCACGACGTCTCTGCGGGTTATATAGCCACACCAACTTCCCTGGTTGGTATCCTCCATGCTCAGCTTGAATGTCGTAGTGTTCCTTCATTCGGTCACTAGCACTTTGAATATTTAGGCGGACTCTCTGATGAATGTCGTCCATCCTTTGACGTAGTGTGTGGACATAATCTTCTCCGGCGACTTCTTCTCCCGGTCGGCAACCAAATTTCAGATCACAGGGTAGGCGCACTTCCCGTCCCATAACGATGCTGGCTGGAGTTTGCCCTGTAGATTCTTGGACGGATGAACGGTAGGCCAACAGGAACAGGTGAAGAAATTTGTCCCAGTCTCTTTGGTGGTCAGAGACTACTTTGGCCAGATAACGGTTGATAGTTCTGTTCATGCGTTCAACCATCCCATCGGATTGTGGATGTAGAGCAGTCGTCCTGGTCTTGCGGATGTTCAGGACTTCACAGACGCCTTGGAACAGATTGGACTCAAAGTTTCTTCCCTGATCTGAATGAAGCTCCATGGGAACACCAAACCTGCAGATCCATTCTTTAACAAGGGCATCAGCAATCGTGGACGCTTCTTGATTTGGCAACGCGTAGGCCTCGACCCATTTGCTGAAGTAATCCATTACTACCACAATGTATTTGTTGCCATCGTTCGTCTCCGGGAAAGGACCAGCCACGTCGATCGCTATTCGTTCGAAGGGACTACCAACATTGTACTGGCGCATAGGGGCTTTACCACGCTTTTGTGGCCCATTAATGGCTGCGCAAATGTCACATTTCTTACACCAGGCCCTCACATCTTCTTTGCAGTTCACCCAGTAGAACCGTTCACGCAGCTTGCCAAGTGTCTTGGTAACACCAAGATGTCCACCGCTGGTTCCATTGTGAACTTCCTCCAAGACTTCTGGGACCCTCTTCTTTGGAATGACGATCTGCCTTCTCTCTTCTTGTCCCTCCGGTCTCTCGATCACACGGCGAAGTAGTCCGTTATCTATTACAAAAGAATTCCACTGAGCCCAGTATGACTTTACGTTCGGCGAATATCTGTAAACTTATATATAAATATCTTCCCACGTTGGTCTTTGGCCTGCGTTTTTCCAGTTAATTACTAAACCTAATTCTGGGTCACTGGTTTGGTCATTTGCAAGATCTTCGGGTTGCCAACTATCATTAACCACAGTTGTTCTTAGGAGTTTCACTTCTTTCTCTTCTGCTCGGGAACAATGCTTACAGTCCTTAGCGCAAGGTCTTTTGGAAAGTGCGTCGGCATTTCGATGGATTGCCCCAGCTCGATGTTCTGTGTCGAAGTCAAATTCTTGTAATCGTTCAATCCATCTAGCTACCTGCCCTTCGGGATTCTTAAACTGCAACAGCCATTTCAAAGCAGCATGGTCTGTTCTTAACAAGAACTTTCTTCCATAGAGATACTTGTAGAAGTGTTCCACTGCTTTAACTACTGCTAGTAATTCTCGTCTGGTTACACAGTAGTTCCTTTCCGGTTTTGACAAGGTCTTACTAAAATAACCAATGACTTTTTCTTGACCATCCTGGATCTGAGACAGAACAGCGCCTAACGCAACATTGCTAGCGTCGATATCCAATATAAAGTTTCCGTTGCCAAGAGGGTAGCTAAGTATGGGCGCACTAGCCAGGGCCTTCTTGAATTTTCGGAATGCCTCATCAGAATCTGAGTCCCAAGAGAAACGCCTCTCGCCTTCGGTAAGTGTGGTCAATGGTTTTGCGATGGTGGCGAAACCCTGTACATAGCGGCGATAGTATGTGCATAGTCCCAAAAAGCTTCGTAGTTCATGTTTATCTTTAGGTATTGGCCACTCTTCCACTGTCTTGGTCTTCTGTGGATCTACCGCAACTCCTTGGGAGAAGACTACATGGCCCAAGTAGTGCACCTTTTCTTGACACAGATGACATTTCTTGGGGCTAAGTTTCAAACCAGAGCTCCCTAGTCGCTTGAAAACTTCTTCCAAATTCTTCAGATGGTCGTCAAAGGATTTCCCAACCACTATGATGTCATCCAGGTACACCAAACAGGTAGTCCACGATAGTCCCTTTAAAACAGACTCCATTAGTCTTTCAAAGGTAGCTGGCGCGTTGCACAATCCAAAAGGCATGACGGTAAATTGCCACAGTCCAGAGCCCACCGAGAACGCTGTCTTCTCTCTGTCTTTCGGCGCCATGTCGACTTGCCAATATCCACTCTTCAGATCTAACGTAGATCTAACGTATCGTTGACCCCGCCAGCGTGTCTAGAGTATCGTCTATCCTCGGCAGGGGATAACTATCCTTCTTGGTAACATTATTGAGCTGCCGATAATCAACACAGAACCTGGTGGTACCGTCTTTCTTCTTTACTAGTACTACCGGCGATGTCCACGGGCTGTTAGATGGTTCGATGACACCCTCTTCTTTCATTTCTCGAAGAATTTTATCAGCTTCTTCACGTTTGGCGAGCGGAAGTCTTCTCGGATTTTGTTTGATTGGTCGTGCATCTCCGGTATCAATTTTATGTTGTACTAATGTAATGAAGTTCATAAAATTTCTGGGCCACCCTGTACATTATATTAATATTATACTAGAATAATAGAGACTTGATTCTCTTGTAATAATGACAGGCAGGGTATTTTATTGTTAACTCATTATTGTAATGAACTTCATTAGTGTTTCTATTGTTGAATTAAATAAGTTAAATAT